CGTGTGGCAGCTTGTATCCAGGCTAGAGGCGGATCAACACCTTATTGAACTTGTTACTGTAACTCTACAATAAATTATTCAATTGTTCTGAAATTTTAATCATTTACTATTCTGTACATTTTCTTCTTATCCACCAATTTTCGTTTCAATCGGACTACTCCTTCTTGGTGCGTCGATTTTTTTGTTATAGAGTGTAATATTTTTTGGAAACGAAATTTAATTTGTGTTGCACACAGAAATTAGCTCCGATTTTTTATTTTATTTATTTACTACTTTTTCAATACTAAATTTCGTAAGAAATTAAAATATTTAATATAAAAAGAAATTTTTCCATCATCTTTCATTCACGAGTTACCCCACTAGTTACCCCACTTATCACAGTCATAGTTACCCCACTTATCTTCAAAACTGAGGCCTACCATACTGGAGTCATATTCTACGCACTATATGGATTTGTATAAAGCGGGAGTAGCTACGAACAACAATCGTATCACAGACCTATGGTTTCAGAAACCCTGGTACCGTATCTATTTAATCAATGATACGACTAGGTCTGATCATTTAGTTGGCTCTCAGGTTTTGAGTATTAATTTATCAAAAATTTCCTTTCTGAATTAATTCGATAAGTCAACTCAGGTCAAATAGTATGTAACATTTTAATAATGTCTCTAAGTGCCACTATAAAATAACAATCTGAAATCTCAAAAACATACTTTCAGGATTGTTCCATTCGAACCATCTACCATACGTAACAGAGCGACCACACCTTAAAAAAGAGTATCCCACATTAACAGAGATGACAGAAAAAGCAATAAAATTACTCAATAGGAATTCAAAAGGATATTTTCTGCTTGTTGAAGGTAAGAAGTATGCATTAATTTCAATTAAATAATTTCGGTTGGTTATTAATTTAATAGATTACATGAAACTATAGAGTGCCGCTTGAAGCCCGTGTCCAATCTCTTAATTTCCGAACAGCAACAAAAATAATTATAAAAGAGGTATCTAGGTATAATAAAATGGCTATGCACTACATAATGCAGCCTCACTTGAAAAAAAAAATTAATGAGTTTGCATTTATCTTGAAATTGGTGCAGGATAGAAGGCAGAAAACCAAACTACAAAGTTACAGAGCATTATTAAGTTATTACAAATGTGGTTTTTGATTTTTGCAAAAAATTCCGGATTAAATTATGATATAAAGTACCGGCACTTAAAATGACTCATCCATAAAAATCTTTTTTACCATAATTTTTACATTAATGTTTATTTAGAGTGATTCTGAGATTTTTTGTTCCGTAACATGTTCCTGGAAAAGTGAATAAGCAAAAATTATCAGCCCCTTGAGATCCGGTACTTTTTATCGTAATTTGATCCGGAATTTTTTACATTGTAGTAAGCGCAGAACGCATATAACGCGATGTTCGCAATTTCGTGCCCCGTGACGGGATAAAATGAGGCAGGCAATTTTTATAAATTACAAGAACACATTTTTCTTCGATCTTAAACTTGTCTTTAATTTTGATTATTGAAAATAAAAAATAAACCTTATGATAACTAGCTTTTTTTATAAGATCGCTTCTTTCGTCACAGAGTAAGAAACTACATACAAACAAATGCGCTTTTTAAACGTTAGATTTCCAGCATTAATGAAAATTACAAAAGTTTTTTTCTACTAAATTAATGATGCTCAGCAATTTTTTTAAACGTTTTTTTCAATTTTATTAATCAACCGACCACAGTGCTGACGTAAAATATCCGCAGTGGTAAACTGATCATGGGTTAAATCTCCTTGCCGTTCGGCTAGCTGTGGAAAGGTTTCGTGGTTTTCCTCTCCATGCAACGCAAATACGGGACAAAATTCTCCCAATACTCGATCCAGAAGTTCCCTTGTCTTCTAGATTGAGTACAAAATTGCAAAACGAATTTGAACGTTGGTCACCGTTACTAACAGGCTAACCGCGGGAGGCTTTAGTGATTTTCCTCTCCATGTAACGTAAATGCGGATTAGTTCCATAAAAAAAACCACCATGAAGGCTTGCTTGTTCCAAAGCTTGATCCAGGAGTTCCCTTGTCTTCTGTTGTGGGTTTAAAATTATAAGGCTACGGTAATGAAAATTGATAGTCCTTTCAAACAGAATTGGATTGGCTGTTCAGCGCCAGTTATAAAATAAGAATAAAAGGGGAGAAGTGTACAGAGAAAAAGTGAGGGAATTTCTAGGTATAATTTATAATAATGTAACAAAGCTTTAAAAAAAAAATCTAAGGTTTACATTTTTCTAATGAAAAAATATAATTTCACTGCAATATTAGACAGGTTCTGCAAATAGGCAAAATAACACTGAATAGTGAACATTAACTATGAATGATTTCTTTTAAAAATATATCAATCCAGCTTCCGTTTAAATGGAATGGAAACTTAATATTTATGAGTAAAACTGTATGCCGTATTTCAGGGGGAAGAATTGATCATGCACATCACGAAAACTGGGCAATGAAAGCGCTCGAAGAAGGAGTTGAATTTGATCAAGCCATACAGAAGGCCATAGATATTGTCGATGAAAAGGACACTCTTATAGTGGTCACTGCTGACCACTCTCATGTTTTCGCCCTGGGTGGAGATTATCCTGTCAGAGGGACTGAAATTATAGGTGATTAAAATAGATTTTTTGATGATATTTTTATACACCTTTTTTAAATACTTTTCTTTTTAAAACAAGGTACTAAAATCATGTATATTACAATTATGAAAATGAGGCTATATCTGGGTCCCAAATTGCCTTAAAATGACCATTTCAGTAACAGATTATGTTAATTCAGATTCAAACTAAATTTCCACAATATTGCACACAATCAATCTGGAAGTAAAAAAACACTTTATGTAGCAAATTTAGAAATTGTTTAATTTTATGTATTTATTTGTTGTATTGCTAAATTATCTGTGTTGCATTAAAAAAGACGAATTTTTCAAACAAGACTACGTAAAAACAATCCAAATATACAGTTTTTTAATGAAAATATTGAACTTACTATGAAACATTTTCTGCTTCTCTAATCTTACTTTTCTCCCGAAATTTTGAAATTTCTAATAATTATTATTATTTGTTCCATTTAAAACTTTAATTTTGACAGTCCAATTATACATTTCCAAGAAAAATTAAATAAATTAAATCGTTAACATTTATTAGTGAACTGTAGAACAAATGAAGAAAGAAGGTTTTTGAAAATCGATTTTATTGTTTCCCCGAAAAATCAGTTTAATTCGAGCTAAAACGAACAATTCGTCTCCTATTTAGATTAACTTTTTTCTTGAACACTTCTCAAATTATTATCATTAAGGCTATTTGACAATATTTGTCTGACAACTCAGCAAGAAGGAGCTGAATTGCACTGAAAAAGGATTTAAAATGTTGAATGTCTATTAGCGAATCAGCATAATTGCACTGAAAAAAAGATTAAAATTTTTTCGTGTCTATTAGCAGATCAGCATAATTGCACTGAAAAATGATTCAAATTGTTTAATGTCTATTAACAGATCAGCATATGAAGGGCACATTAAATATATTAAAAAAAAGGCCGAACACATTCATATACCATTTTTTTCTTGAGGACCGTAAAAATTGCTAAAACTATTTTTGACGCTAATGATACTTAATTAATTGTAGTGCTGGATACTAGGTATTTTAGTTACTAGTGCATAATAAATTGATAAGTACCTAACATAAGTATTTTGTTTGTAAGTTTTAACGGCCCCCAAAAAGGAATAGTACCACCAATCACAATAAATTATTAATCTATCTTTTACAGGTATTGGTGGAGTTTCAGACATAGACAATTTAACTTTTACTACTCTGGGTTACCTAAATGGACCAGGTTACAAGAAAAACGCCCGAGAACGCAACTTGACCAATGACGAAGCTAGTAAGTCAGTTTTATCATATATGTTTCTCACAAACGCATTTATGTATTGTTTTTACTTTAAAGGCCTAATTGTTTTCGAATAATAAAAAAACTCATAACCAGGATGCTCTGCTTTAATTACCTATTTTCTTTAATTTAATTCATTAAAATTTTCATTATTGCAATGTACTTTGGCTAGAGTGTTTAGTAAAGATCAGATAGATTGAGTTTAGGCTCCAAGAAGAGGAAGAGGCAACACTGCAGTACATCTTAAATAACGTACCGCACTTAAGTATAAGAAATCAAACGTTGCTGTTATACCAAGATTTAGGCAAAATGAAAAGTAATTCATTGAGGTCATTCATATATATTTTTAGGTACATTAGGGGGTCTCAAATTAGTATATAGGCAAAGAAGAAGCAAAAACGTTAAAGAAATAAGTTGAATTCCTTGTTAGAAAGGTAAGATGAAAAACAATTTCACCAGTTTGGTTATCTGGTGAAACTCAGTGCTTCTGATAGTGGCTTTTACACTTATTCCTATAAAATAAAATAGGCTTTATAAAATAGGTTTTAAAGTAGGTTTCTAGTCTTTCAGTCCCACTTTCTGCAGTAGTAATTTGTCAAGTTTATATATCTTTTTGTTTTTCTTCTTTTTTTTCAAATTATTTTCCTTTTTTTCCTTCATTTTCATTCATTTGATAAGGATTTTATGTATATACTAGTGGGCTGCGCCCCCTGCTCGCTCACGCTCGCCAACCCCCGCTACGCATTCTTTCTTTGCTACGCATTCTTATACGGTTTGCTTCGCAAACCAAGCTAGCCTAGCTCGCTAATAACTTAGGTACATTGCAAATTCACAAAGGTCTAAGAATTCAAAACAATCATTCAAATCCATATAAAAACTTTCTTTTAAAAAAAAATTACATCTTTTTAGTAAATACTAAGTCATTAAAATAAATTTGAGTTCAAATAAATGACATGTAATTCGTTAAACCTATTAGAAATGTGCTATAGTATAANAGGAATCCTAAACGTGATTAAACCCTTGTCATCTGTAACACTGGGTTACGTGGTTCGTTCTGCCTTTGTAAGACTCAACTCTTATTTTCAAATTGAGAAAAGACCTGAGATCAAAGATCTCCTTGTTTTTCTCGTTCTTGGGCAGTGTTACTATAAATAATGGAAGGTTTTTGAGTGCACCGTCTCGAAAACTTCTCATTTGTTTCACTTTCAGAAAAGTAAATTCTAGTGCAATCAGCGCACTTTCAATTTCGCTTGTTTCCATATTTGATGGAATATCCTTCATTACTACTCTAAGGGGTTTGTCTCCTTTCAAGTTGTGGGTGAAAAATTTAATATTTTCATCTCTAAAATGCTTTGTGACAACTCGAAAGTCGTCTTCATTAGCTAAAGTCAGTTTTATCGAATCACCAAAAACTTTACCAGTAAATCCAGTCATTCCTAGAAAATCTCTAAGAATTTTTGTAATACTAGTTCAGGTTTGCTGGTTATCATTGATAGTAATCGGAGGGACTTTCCGTTTCTTAATCTTTTGGATTTGGAACCCATCTAAATCCATCTCTTCGTTTTCGCTATCATAATTCTCAATTTCATTATCATTATCAACTTTTACTTCTTCGCTCTCTTTTGCGTCTATTTCTACTTCTTTCTCAACTTCTAATTCTACAAATTTCTCCTTTTCCACACTTTTGCCTTTTTTGCAGGTCCGCTTTTATCATCACTGTCAGATGTTAGAGCAGAGCTGACCTTTTCTATCGCTTTCTTAGCTTTTCCCCCTTTTTTCCGAGGTAAGTTTGATTTTGGTTTTTCTATCGTGACCTCTTTCACGATCTCTATGTCTTTCACAGGGGGAATGGGCAGTTCCTCTCTCCGTGTCAACATCTTTTGCAAGTGCCTATTCTCTTGCCTCAACTTTTCATTCTCTAGCAGAAGTTTATCTATCTTTTCATTCATAGATTTCATCTGCTCTGCCATAATAGCCAATGCCCCATCATTGCTATTTGTACTTCCACTAGTGTTATTTCCACTCATCGGAGGAACATAACAACCACTTTTCAACTTTTCTATAAATTGCTTATTTAAAACCTTCACAACATCAAAATCCTTTATACCGGGTACCGCCGCGAAGCCCGGCGGCAAGCCACCGCTACTTCCGACGCGCTCTCCGGTATCCACGTTTCCCTTCAACACGTCACTATACTGCACAACAGGGTTGGAGTTAGATGTTTCTCCCGTAGGATACTCCATTAACTCCTGTTCCAGTAGCCCTGTGGCTGCTTTGGTGATATTCCTTTTCGAGAGCCCTAATAAGGGCTGGAGTGAATCACTCAACTCTGAAACTGGCTCAACAGTCCGGATGCCCGATAACTCGGGGGTCGAGCCCCCGCAGCACTCGGACCCTGCGACTGAAGAGCACCGAAGGTGACCGCTACCTCTTCCACCGGAAGGCATCTTCTTATCAACAGAGAATCTCTTATCAGGAGCTAATCTGGAGACGTCTTTCCTCTTCGGAGTCTGGAACCTGAATGGTGTCATTTGATAAGGATTTTATGTATATACTAGAGGGCTGCGCCCCCTGCTCGCTCACGCTCGCCAACCCCCGCTACGCATTCTTTCTTTGCTACGCCTTCTTATATGGTTTGCTTCGCAAACCAAGCTCGCCTCGCTCGCTACTAACTTAGGTACATTGCAAATGCACAAAAGTCTAAGAATTCAAAACAATCATTCAAATCCATATAAAAACATTTATTTAAAAAAAAAAAAAAATTACATCTTTTTAGTAAATACTAAGTCATTAAAATAAATTTGAGTTTAAATAAATGACATGTAATTCGTTAAACCTATTAGAAATGTGCTATAGTATAATTCGTAATATGAATCAAAAATCGTCAAATAAATTCGTAATATATAAATTCATGAAAAAAAGCGCTTTCGACAAAATACTAAAATGGAGATCTATCGACAAAGACTACTCCCTTCTATCCAGCTTAATAGTATGAGATTGCCGCAGCTGATGCTCTCTGGTTATTTCAGTTTCCGTTTTTAAAAACGCTATATGTTAAGCCATCTCGGCTAGAGTTGGCACGCGACATTTTTAGCGGCAATCATGGGTCGATTCGCCGTGTAAGAGAAATAGTAACGTAAACAAAACAAAGCAAACGTTGCCACCGGCGGAAAAGAAATACAGCCAAAATTTGGGAGCCACGTAAGAGAATTATATACATTAGATATATATCACGGTCTTTACGAAGGTTTTTTTTTTTTTTGTTGCTGTTTGTTTATTTTGGTGATTCTGTAAATTCTATTTTCGAAAATTTCTTTAGTTCATCAAATACATTTCTCAATAATTTGTTTTTGTAATTGCTTTATTTGTATGTAAATTAAAATTTTTAGACTTAATTTATCAGGTAGTATGTACACATTACACCTCCTTTTTCGCTTCAACCTATACTTAGTCTTCTTTCCCTAAATTGCAGTAATAAACTGTACCAGTGTTGCTTGTCTCTCCCTTTATCAATGGGAGACTTATGCCTGTTAATTATGTTTGATGTGTGTCTTAAATATTTAAACTTGAGCTTCTTATGTGTTATTGAAAAGCCCTTCTACATTTAATTTGTTTTGAATTTCAGTTTTAAAGAGTAATCAAATACTTTTCTTTTAAAGTGAATCCAGAATTTCAACAAGACGCTTTGCTTCCACTTGATTCTGAAACCCATGGATCAGAAGATGTCCCTGTATATGCTCGAGGTCCTATGGCTCATCTCTTTCACGGTGTCTATGAACAGTCTTACATACCTCATGCCATGGCTTACGCATCCTGCATAGGTTCCAATAAAGAACACTGCAATCATGCTTGGTCTATTTATGGTACGCAGTCTTCTCTGACTGCATTGAAATTAACTGCAATTGCTATATGGACGTACTTTGTAGGGATGAAAATACTTTAATTAGGTTTTTACGTCATAAATTTTTCATTTCCCTTTGTGTTTGCTAAAAATTATTGTAAAAATCACTGCTATAGCAAAATTCTTTAATTAGGCTTAATTAGTCTCCCAAAAACGAATGAACTTTCGTAACACGCAATTTTCTTTGAAATGAGAAACTTTTGTGCTCTAATTTATTAACTATGGTGAAAAATTACCTCGTCTCTACAATGTTTCAATGTATAAAATTATGTAAAAATTGAGAATTATTTTTTAATATTCATAATGTCCATCTCGATAAAAAAAATATCACGAAATCGTCATTTTTGTTTAAAAAAATGTACAAATAAAATTTTTTTTTCTAATTGTGTTTAAAAGTTTTTCGTCTTTAAGTCTACTTTATTCTCCTCAATATTTAACTTCGAATTTAAAGTTTTCAAACTGAATCAAAAGCATCTTTAATTTTCACTGGTAAAAGAGCTTAATAATGCAGCTCTATTGCCAATAAAAGCATATGAGCAATGTGAAAAATCTCGAATCAAATTACGACAAAAAGTACTGGCACTCTTTTCCGTAATATCCATTTTTAGAGGAACATGTCACAGGAACCAAAGACTGGTATAAAATAATAAACCTAAAAAATAAAACATAAGTTTCAACTCTCTCCTTCGTTAAAACCTTTGTCCAATGTTTAATGCTTGAATAGTAGTTCTCTTACCATTCTTCTTCTTCAGTGACATGACAGCCTTAGGTGGGACCAGGCCTTCTCAAGAATTTTCTTCCAGGCCAGCCGATTTATTTTTGGCCAGCCGTGGTTTCACTTATCATTACATTATTAAATGTTTTACCAAAAATCAATCAGAATTATTCTCATAAACCATGCAATATACACTTTAAAAACTCTGAAATGTAACAGAACAAAAAAAATTCGTTAATGTGTTTTTTTTTTTTTTTTTTGCTATTTCAATAAGTTGATTATTTCCTTATTCAGAAAACGAGGAAGAAAATTATAAAATCAATAAAATAATTTTATTTACAGACGTCTAGAATCTTTCCAAAATTTATTTATTCTTCGTGTTGACAATAAATTATCGGTTTAACACTTTCTCAAAAAATCGATAGCTTTCAATCTTAAGGAAGACAAACATTTATCACCGATATCAGAAATTTGATTATTGAAAAACATTTTTCATAAATATGGAAGCTATAGAAAACCTTTAAAATAAGATATGAAATTTGGATAATTTGCTTTGAAAAATGTTTTATGTATGGAAATTTTTAAGAATATTTCCTTACTTAATAATAGTAAATTATCAATTATTTACTCCAAATTTAAAAAAAGAAGAGATCTGTTTTTCCAATTCAGCTATTTCATTTCTAGATATCTGAGATTCTTCATGTGAATAGTCAATGAAAATGAAAACTCTACATATCTTTTAATAGGTAATAAAATGAGCTCATAAATTTTGCACAGATTAAAATTTTTTCTTCATTTAGTTGAATTCTGGTTAAAACATCGATGAATGTCAATATATTGGCCTATAGTAATAGAGATTTCATGTGAATAGTCAATGAAAATGAAAACTCTAAATTTCTCTTAATAGGTGATAAAATGAGCTCATAAATTTTGCATAGCTTAGAATGTTTTCTTTATTTAGTTGAATTCCGGTTAAAACATCGATGAATGTCGATATATTGGCCTGTTACTGAAGTAATAGAGATTTTTTAAATTTAGAATCTTTTCAAGAAATAAAAAATATTTTCTTTATTCGTAAATGTAAATAGATTAATAATTAATGTAAAATATGAATAAAAGTAAAATAAAAGTTTTATTATATTTTATTGTTAGAAAAAAAAACTCATCTATAAAGGTAAAAAAATTATAATGTAACTTGATCTACATTCAAAACTCAATAATTACAAATTAAATAAGTACTAAAACAATCTCGTTAACTGCCTTTTAGTTTCGATATAACTAATTTAAATCTGTGATTAACGAGTCAAACATTATAAGTTTTAAAATTATAAAATTGCCCTCCAATTATTACTGAGGTTTATATTTTAATAGCGGAATATAATAAAACATTTTTCTTTTCAATTTTTTATTTAAAAATATGATAAAGAAAATTAACACGATCAGAAAATAAAAGATACTCTAGAGGCTGTTTTTTAAAACAAAATAAAAACGGAGTTTACAAGGCATAATTTTATAAAAAATTTGAAACATAATGAAGAGTAATGAAAAAATTATAATGCATTAAAAAAGACAGTTCTTTACTATAGAAAAGTAAAAATTAATTCCAATGAAAAATTATAATTCAGATATAATTGAAGATATTTTTAAAGATCTGTTGTCAGGAATTTTTTCCCCTTCGCATTATTACTTGCCGGATTCAGCGATAGTCAGTTTATCAAAAATATATCTTCTTTGCATGATCTGCTAATGTAATATTTATATTACCTTAACACTGGGATGGGCAAACTTTTTTGGTCGAGGGCCAAAAATCGAGAAAAAAAAGTTTGGTGGGCCAAGTTAAAACTTCTAAAATATGAAAATATGATATACAAGTTTTAATTTAGACATTTAATGAGATGAATGAAATTGCGATTTAATTTCTTATATTGAGGTTCGAAGTGAGATGTGCTTATTTTAAGGAACGAGGCTAAATGCCTCGTCTACTTCTAACTATTAACTATAGTCTACTTCTAAAACTATTTTTTCTAAGGTTCATAGTTGAAAACACTTGTTCACATATATAAGATGAAGCATACATAGCACTGATTTTCTGGGCATGAAATTAAATTTTGGAAACTAACTTTTGGTAATGATTTGTAAAACTCAAACTTTAGCATATTTATGATCAACTGCTTCCGATGATTGTCAGATTGCAACTCATTCAAATCACGCTGCAAATCCAACCCCACTGTTTCACAATAACGTGAAAGGCATGGTAAAAGTATCTAATTCTGTTTGAATGGCACTGAAATCTTGAAATATGAGTTCATATTCAAAATGGAGTTTTTTCAAGCCATTTTCGCAATTCCTAAGCTATTCCTTATTTACTGAGGGTATTGAATTTAACCTCGAGAAATAAGACAAGGCATTCTTAGCTAGCTGCCCATAAAGCAGATTAAGTTTCAGTTTTAAAGCTTTAAGATGGGTCCAGATATCATCGATGAATTGATTTTTGCATCTTAACATTCAAGTTGTTCATATGACAAAAAAGATCTGTCCAAGTTCATTCATCATTGAACTCAAGACGCTCTAAATCAACTTTGCGTTTTTTAGTAGCTTGTTTGGGGTTTAAAAAGTTTACAGTCAAGGAAGCACCAGCCATTTTATAAATTTAAAAATTTCACGATTATTTACAATGACATGTGTGTGCAATTTTTTCATACAAAATAAATGTTAGAACTCGAGCCGGCAGAAAAATCCACTCGTTGGAGCTTAAAATGCGCAGTCTGCCACATGTGAAGTGCAATTCACCTATAGTATATTCTCTATGCCTACGCCTCGAGAAAGACAGACCTTCGTGGGAGCCAATCTACGGCTATTCCATAAATAACTTCTGCTTTTACCATTTTAGCAATTGAAGCTATCTGGTCTTACTATTTCCATCAATTTAAGCTTTGTAGAACAAAAATAGAGAAAGTAAAAAGGACATCAAAACTTAGTTAAAAAAAAAAAGAACAAAAACTTTAAACTAAGTAGACAAGAAAATGAATGTATAATGTATTGTTTATATTCGCCGCGGATCGTTGAGTTAAAATTCTATCCGCGGGCCGGATAAAACCTTCCAGCGGACCACAGTTGGCCCGCGAATTGCCCATCCCTGCCTTAACGCATAGTTAAGGGCAAGATTAATATTAACTGTTGTTTCGGCTTAAATAGGTTAAACTTTGCCACTGTTGTTTAAACAAATTTCTTGAAAATGAACTTTATTATAAAAATTAAAGAAGTAAATACTATTACAATTTAGTTTGTTAAATAATAATAATAATATCTATATAGAGATATTTGAGATTTAAAAATAAAAAGAACTAAATAACTGCTGGATTCTACAACAAAGATTTGCAATAACAAACTGCATATTAATAAGTGTTTGTAAAATATATGAGCATATTCTTACCCAAGCGTCATTTTTATTGAAATAAATCTATCAACATTTTTCAAAAAGAAATTTTTTTTAAAAAAAACTCTGAGTGATAAATATAATGAGCAGCTGAAATTTTCTTTCTCCCATATTTCATTTCTACGTTACTCTGCTACCTTGTTTTCAACGATTGTGTCTGTTTATCGTGGTGACATCTATACTATAAACTTTTAACTAATCACCTTAAATTAATTTGTTTGCTATTAATATTAAAATTTCTTTACACACAATAGTTCTGCAGGCAATGTTAACATTCCAATTTTCATGTGAAACAAATTTCAAGTGAATTTCGTGATACGAAATGTATGCTACCAAAAAACTTCAATCATCTGCTTTTATTAGTTCCTACATAGTGGCGCTGGCTATCTTTCAAACTCAAACTTCAAGATAGTTGTTTTAAGTTAATGTATAAAATAATCATATAATATTTTTAATCATATAACATTAACTTTCGTAACAAAGAGGCACCACTTTGGGTTTGAAAACGCATGTTAGTTTGAAATGATACTAACTACTAGTTTGAAATGACTACATTTAATGCTGCTGCTATCTAGTGAGATATATGGGACATAAAAGTTTTTCGTCTTTCCTTCAAAAAGTTTTGTAAATAAATTTTCCTTTTATGTGATTCACACGTCGTAAAAATATTTAAACTTTTCCTTTATTAAGAAAACGGAACAAAGTATCAAATGAAAAATTTTTTTTTTGAAATTAGAAGTAGTAAAATAAATCCTTTATGATTGAAGAGAAAAGAAGTCACTCTCTGCTATTAAATCTTCAAATCAAAAAATTTAACTACTTAAAAACTTTTTTGTAATATTTGAAATTATAATTAAATATTATTTTAAATAAACAAATGATTATTAATAATTATTGAAGATTCCTCTGACATCCAAATAGGTAATGA